GGAAGTTGGCGTGGATCCCTTCTGAAGGAAATTGGAGATTCTGATATATGTTTATTACGAGACGAGAGATTTTTTTTCAGGGGAAAAAAATTTTTAAATTTCCCCTCTTCCCCGCGTTGTTTCGCGCGAATCGAGATTTTCATCGAGGGAAAAAGCCTTTTGTCATTTCCTTCTTCCTGAGATGAATTCGAAACGAGTTTTTTACGACGGTATTTTGAACAGGTTTGTTGCGTTTTGACTGTATTTTTATATCGTTCTTGCTTCTAATATTAATAATAATTTCGATGCTTCTAATATTTTAACGTGATTTTTGCCACGTGTATTAAATTTGAATTAATATCGAATTTAATATTTGAATTAATAATCAGAAGTTTCTTTGAATTCATTGAATAGATTCTGAAACGGTCAAAAGAGTGACTCCTGTGTGTAATAAATAATTAAATCGGTTAGATTTCAGCGATTCGTGCCAAAGCAAGCCAAATATTCCGATGATAAACACACGAATTCATTGATCAATCGTTAATTTGTTATATCGGTTAATTTATCAAATTTGAAATTTAATAGTATATATTTTAACAATAATTGTTCAAATTATATTGAATTGTCATTCAGAATATTCATTTCTTTCTTATTTTTATTATATTTGTAATTAATAAGACGTAATATTTTTTGTATATATATATTTATTTATTCAAGTTTAACGAGAGATTAACGAATAACATTTTGCTATTTTTACAGACCGTGGGGATAGAGGTGCGGGTAACCAACGAGGTTCTACCCAGCGCCACAGAGGAAACTGTGATAAAAGATGCGGCACCTCCTTGGACAACTATGTCCGTCCTCAACAGTCGAACAACACCAACAACCCCCACAAACAACTATCCCCAGTATTTATCTCCTCACGTGTTTCAAGGCCGGAATTCTCTTGGCTGCACCAATGGTAAACTTTTCTCTTTAATCATAAACATACTTTGCATAATGTAATTTTTTTTTAATATATAGTGGTACGTAATAATAATTAAATTCAAATTTAATGTTTTGTTTCGTGTTCAAAAGGTTGATAAAAGTTCAAAAAAAAAAAGAAAAAAATATTTTTTCAAACGTTTGAATACAGTTATTGAAATATTTTTATTTGCGAAATATCGAATCAGCATGCTAGATATCACGTTATTTATCTTTCGAAATATATACGGGAATTTATCGTTTCCCCCTTGCATTTTCAATTCGAATTAACTAATCGAAGGGAATGCAATTGTTTCGATTGACATTTTGCGTGCTGGAACAATTAGCTCGAATTATCTTTCGACTTTCTCTTAATCCGAAATCCGTTTATCCAATTATCCTGATTGAGAAGCATCGATCAAGTTGGCGGGCAAATGGGCATGATGAAAGAGGAAAAGAATAACAAATCGATCAAATTGATGTAATTTACTAATTACGTGTATACATGAAATCAGAATCTATTGGCCACGAGTATTTTTTTTAATGTATATGTAGAACAAATTAATAATTTTGTAATAGATTACACACTGCGTAGAAGACGTCCCATGACACTTCGAATTGGTCCACGTTTGAGTCTTCCAAATAAGAGCACATCGGCTCCAACAACTACGACAGATGGGGATTGGCCAGCATTAGGGTAAGTGATATTTCTTGTCACTTTTATCTTCGTATGGAATCAAGTCAAAGACCAATATATATATATATATATAT